TTGAAAATTATACCTTTTTGCCATGTGAACTTCGGTGTTCTTTATATGAGGGGTTCAAAAATTGCGCCAGCAGGTCCAAAGGTTCCAAAAACTGAGACCTGTAGCTTGAACAAAAATTTACATGGGCCGACATCAGACGAACAACATGCGATGCTGTTGCTGTTGATTATTGCAATTCAATTTTTATTTTTTCTTAATGCTTGACAGGCACGGAGCTCTTTTTAATCATAATCGGTAGTGTAGATACAAGCGACCAAACATGAAGTAAAGGAGCGATCGCTCCACTCTTCTCTCTTAACACTAGTTTCACTTCAGCTCGGTAGAGGGGGGAGTGTAGGAGCATGAATTTGCTTTACGAAAAAGTCAAGGGCTTGACTTTTATATCTCCATACATATAATATAGAATATAATAGAAGAATAATTATATATATATATATACATAATTAAAAGAATCCTTATGCCTATATTGAACATATGTGTGTCAACTACCCGGCGGGTAAGGAATACGCTTACAATTCTTAGGTCTATTCAGAAATGAATTAATTATAGAGACTTGAAGTTACCGCTTTTTAATGCTTTTACCTGGCCTTGTCTGCTTGAATATTGAAATTCAACTCGTGTGAGTCGAGTTTGCTTTCCGTGAATACTCTGCTTGAATACCCTATTGCATGTTTTCATTGTGGCGTTTCCCTGTTAAACCGTTTTTCCGCGATCTCTGGCGTCGGCAGGTAAAACGGAGGCATAACGAATCTGCGTTTGATGCCATTTCTAAAATTTCGTTTCTTAGAACGCCGGCTAGTTTTCATTCACACTCATTTTATAAAATATGTGATTTTCGTAATAATAGGGGCGATTGAACCGTAAGTAAATAAAACGGCCAGTCTCATGTTTGTTTTAGATGCTGATTGATATAATCCCCTCTGTAAGGTGGTACAACATTTTTTTATCGTAATTTATCTTTTACAACAATTTCTCCTTTTTAAAAAAGTTGGGTTGTTAAGTTTTTCTTCTTTTTGTCCTCTAATAGCAAGGGCTTTTTACTTTTAATTACCTAAGAATGTTGTAAAATTTTGCACAACAGCGTGTAAAAACCCGCCATTGGCGCTACTAGTAGAAGTTCTGCAGCTACCACATATAGTGGCTTTGAATAATAATGTGTCAAAAGATAATCAGATTGCTTATTCTGCACAAAATACACACATGCTTGCGTATATTCAAGCATTACTTTCCCTGTTTTCCCTAAAATTTATGTGTTGATATTCTTATAATACTTGGATTTTTCTTCTTGTTTTTATTATTATTTTTTTTTTTTTTTGGTATTTATTTAACCTAGTTTTCTTTACTATCGCTATTGTTGGGAGCGAAATAAACGAAACCAAATCTGATTATTCTTCTTCATCTATCCTGCTCTACTATTTTTATGGTTATTATGCGTCCGTTCGCCTTCTTCTTTCTACTTTTACAATATAGCGCGAAATTATTTTTGAAGTTATTTCTTCCCCTACACACAAAGGTGTTGTTAATGAATTCAGACAAATGCAATCTTTTCGCTCGTCTGTGTTTGCAAGTGTAAAAAAAAATTTTTTTTCGAAGAATTCAATTGACATGAAATTCAATTTTCATATTCTTGCAGAATATCGTTAAACTTCATTTCTCTTTCCTTTTTTGACGAGAACATAAAATTAAAACGAAACTCCTACTTTCCAGCATAGATATGCGTTCGAGTGACGACGACGGTATCCAATCATCATAGAAAAACTACAATGTTTGCATTTCATTTACAGAACAAGCATAAAAAAAAAGCAAAGAAAATTAAACGTATTTAAATTTCCATCTATTTAGCATTTAAAAAAAAAAAAAAAACATGAAATTCAAATTCCAAGCCTTAAAGAAAGTCAATGAACAGGGGGAGTCATTGAACAGTGAGAAGAAAAGAACGGTGAGAATACTTTTAGGTTGAATGACCAGAATCTTTCGTTATCTTTGAAACTTATTTAGCTGTAATTTTATGAAGCCATCGTTTATTTATGACATGTTAACTAGATGTTTCCTTGTAGTGAACAGTATTTGTATCCTTTTTAAAGGCTTGAGTAATTATAAATTTTATTGTACCTAGCACCGAGGTATGACAGGTATATTTACTTTATTAAAACGTTTGCAACGCCCAGAAGGAAGCTTCAAGGACCCCACAGAGTATATATACTCTTGGTCGTCATGAAATTGATTTAAGCATATTTGTGTGTGTAATATCCGTTGTAAACATTCTCCGCAAACATGAAATTATCGACTTCAAAGTTGGGTGACATATAGGAACTTCCCGAAAACATGATGATATTGTAAACGGTCTAAATCGGTCAAAGGACACGCCTACAATACAACATAAAGTGAGGAGACCTCTATTTGTCAAAAGCAATATAAAAATGGACTTTTGTTCATTGCTCATCAACTACAGAAGATAAATGCACAAAAATTTGACCGTATATTCTATGGGCGTTGCTGTAATGCCTGTACAAAAACGGGGAAAATATTTCCCGCCTACCCAAAGAAAAAATCGGATTTTTGTTTTCAATAGAATTGCTTGTTATATAGCTTTAACTATTCATATCTTAAGTGATTGGTTCTTATGTGCCTAAGTTCAGCTAACTAAGATATTGCTATTACATTAAAATCCGAAATTCGCTGTTAGCCTGAGACGTATTAGCACCCGCCGCTATATAACAAAATGTGTTGTATTACATTCCGTCGTAACCTTTCACAACAGGTGGTATAAAAATTGCCCGTTACCCATACACCAGAATTAGCCTGTTCACACTTTCCTATCAGAATAAATCAAATTAGAATTCATCTTTACCTATTACATTGGTAATCGTAATAGAATGCACCGTTAATCGCCTCTCATAGAGCCCTCGATTACGAAATAAGAATATACATTGTTAGAACCCGTTGTTGTCTATTAGATACGACCACGTACCAATTCATTGCAATTCGAGTTCATGCCGAATCAATGATATCCTATTCTTATCCACTATTGGTGTAGCTTTAACGTAAGGTCAAGCCTCTGTTTCTTCGCAAAGAAATGATCTATAATTTCATAAAAACTTGTGATTAGCAAATTGACTGTTGTCTTGAAATGGTTTTATTTTTTTTATACCTTACAAAGAGATTGTTTCTGGGCTTAAGAAATGCAATATGCATCTGAAATTCTATAAAGCACATATCTTTTCTTTTTTCTGTGGCTTGGGTTATCCGAAGGGAAGAATGAAGGAAGCTAGTAGTGTTTGTGAACGTTAGACATGAACGTTTAGACAACACCACTGCTGGTAGGTTGTTTCAAAGGCGGTTAGAAAACGACAAGACGAGGTGGTATGCTGTGCGGTGGGTAACTTCAGGACGAGTGGATGAGAACGCTTACAAAGTCGTGTAGCCATGACATATCTCTTTTGTTGTCGAAGAAAACTTGCCCTGAACATAAGTGTGCATTACGCCGATGGCCAAGAGTATCGAGAGTTCTGGACGCACCACGTCGCCGATGACCACCTGAGCCTCTCGCTGTATGCGTTCCAGGACCTTTAAGTAAATTTTGGAGGCTCTTATCCAAACATGCGAGTTGTATTCTAATTTTAGCTGGATATAGGCGAGGTGCGGATATCAACTTCAGTGAAGGATTTTTTGCACGTTTTAAAAAACCTAAGGCCTTCACTGCGTGTTTCGACATTTCGAACACAAGTTCTGTCCAAAACATATGTTCCTACCCAGAGCGAATAGCAAACCGATTAAGGTTGCTTACTTGTTTGATCGTCCAGTCACGGCCAAAAGCTCAAATATTTTGCCGGCGGAGCTAACTCTTTCTTTTATATATAATCTGCATACGTTTTCGTCACATATTGTGAAAAACGAAAGCTTTGTTATTTTTAAATAAATGGTGTTTAGATTAATAGTAAGATACTTACTGTCAAACGAATTTAAAAGAATTGTTTTTGCGAGGTGGCGTTCGTTTCCCAAGTTTAAATTGGTTCACCTTATCAAAGGATGATGGCGTTAGGGATGCATATATACACAAATCAGTCATTTTGCGAATTGTAGCTGTTTCGTTGTTGTCTGTTCGTAATTTGTATTTACATTTCACAGTTTTTTTTCTTCGCAGTCTCTTTTGCTCATTATTTTGTTGCGAAAAGTTGGTAACGAAATGCTCTATCTTACATATGTAATTGCTTTTGCATAAATCGTATGTTATTTGAAGCTAGCTAAAAGAGTATAAGCGCTAGACTTGTGAGCACTATTGGTGAGTATTAAATTCAAGCGCGCGCAAACACGAGCTACGAATGTAAAGGCGAATAAAACCGCGCAAAGTATAATTATGAGGGTATGAAATTTCTGTATAAGGATGCAAGGATAAAGTAGAAGAACTTGTTCGTGATGATAATACAATCGCGGCTTATGAGCATATAGGCCCTTTATAGCAGACTAATAATTACAAAGTATTACGGAATCGCAAACGCTAGTTGTAGGAGTACATATGTTCTGTATACGGACTAAACAGAAGAAACAATTCCTAGCTACGACAAAAGAAGCACAATTTATGATCGCAAAACGTAATCTTTACAATTAGAAGCGCCACTAATGAGAACTACACTTATGAAAGGGAATTTGGGAGGTTGTAGTGTAAACGCCAACTATAACTGTGGGAATTGTTAAAGGATTTAAGAGCTCTCCACCAAAGTGCAAACGAAAAGCTTGAAGTAAGGGAGAAGAAGTCCTTAGAAAGATAGCAGATGATATGGACGCCAGTCCAAAGAACTTGTTTATCACTTATTGAGTGAACACTTAATCATGAAGAAGCTCACGCACGCCGATAGCTCTAGCAACAAGATAATATCAATTGAAATGGGAATGATTACGTTCTCCAAATGGTTCCAGTCTTCATTAACTATTACCAATTTGAAAGTTTCAAAAAAACAACCCAAAGAAAAACATTTGGATAAAGTAATGCGGATACTTACAGTTGTTATGGGTGCCCTCGTAAATCATTCTATAAAAAAATCGTCGAAATGTTGGAGAAGCTTTGGAGAAGCGGTGTTACTGCAACATTGAAGATGACTTTTCTTGCTTTGAACGTGTGAAAAGTTGGAAAAATTCCCGGGACATAACGTACTTTATCCGTAATATACAGCCAAGCACATAACATAACGCCGAAAAAGTATGCTTATAAGTAAATGAAGTTAAATTTTTTTTTAAATTCCAACATATCATCGATTAATCGAGAACTAAAGAGACAATAGAAATTCTTTTTATACCCTACACCACTTACGGTACGTTATATTATATATTAGCTTAGTTCATCCGTATTTAACATGCAGAAGAATTTAAGATAGACCCACCTTTTATTATACTGATCGCTGCAGTACCCTTATCTGAATTGATCTAAGCCATCTGCCCTTCCGATGCCTGTCCACGTAAGTTTTTGTTCAAACTACAGGTCGCAATATTTGAGATATTTTGATGAAATTTTGTACCGTGACGTCTTCTCGTTCAAGGACGAACGCTATTGAAAATGGTTCGGATCGGTGCACTTTTCGATCACTCCCCATATAATGCCCTATTCTAAAAACTCGTTATATGATAAAAAAAACTGTAATTTTCAAAATTTTTCGGCAAAAGTGGGTAAGTGGTAGTATTTCGGCATTCGAAATTGATATGTAAATTTTTAAACCCCCTCTCATATAGAGAAAATTGTAGTGCATACGACAAAAAAGCACAATTTTCAACGCTCGATGCTGAAAATTATATCATAGCAGTAATTTAACATAAAAAAATTAACTGTGTCAGGTTCGGAACATCTCCGCCCGTTTTTTTTACGAAAATTTTTAACGAAAATTCGCACGTTCGTAGAGAAAGTCTAAGCTTTAATAGGTGGTGACGAAAATTGATCCATGACAGTAATTTCATACAAAAATGAACTCTACAAAATTTGGACCATCTACGCCTATTTTTGGATCCTGCCCTACGTAAGGGTTAAATTTTTACTACATTAGGTTGCGTTTTTGGCCCGCCTCCCCAGAACTACGCGCACGAAAAATATGGCTTTACATAAAAATAAAATATAATTTTTGTGTTCTATAATAAGTATAAGAATTGTGTTAGACAATGTGGTGTAGGATATTTAATAGTCGGCCCTGCCTGGCTATATGTTAATTCTTGTTTAACTTAAAGCATGTGAAAACACTATAGAGGGACACGGTGCACCATTAACTGCCCTACATTACCCTACAGTTAGTTATTCATATAGAGACTTTTCAAAATAATGTGTCATAAGGAGAGTGATAGAAAAAGTGATACGATCGGAACAATCTTCAATAAAGTTTGCATCAAGATATCTGAAAAATTTGCAGGCTAAAGGTTGAACACAAGAAACTGGGGAAGGTTAAAATTATTGTTTGAATTGACCGGTGTAATAAAAGATGGGTCTATTTCTACTCTTCTGGGTGTTGCATAAATCCGCACAATTTAATGTACACTCTTACTAGAGGTGGTGTAGGAAGTATAAAAAAAAAGATATATGAAGCATATTTTCTCGCTGACTTTACTATTCGCGGTTATGCAATATTTATATATGAACTAAAGAAGTATTCAGCCTTTTAGGAGTTGAAAATTCATTTGATTGTCTTATACCAAACATACCTATTGTGTAAGAACACGTTTAAATAACGTAAGCTGGATTTTTAAGTAAATATTTTCTTTCTCTGGTTACCTATGGGATCTTAGATGAGTAAATTTTTAGATTGCAAGCATTTTAATTAATAATAATATCACACTTCTAGTGGGAACAAACCTTTCAGATAATTGAATTTAATTTTAAAGTTGAATAAATTGCTCTTTTATCAATAAAGCTTGGATGTAATTACTTATTGTTATCGTTTTGTTCCTTCAAACTGTTGCGAACCTATCTATATGTATATAATGTATATATATAAGTGTTTGGCAATCCATCATAGAAATTCAATGAGGTTTTAATAACCACATTATGTGCATAAGCATATATTTACATATATATAGAAAACATGCATGTACTTATTAATGTGTGTATTCGGTTTGTGTTTTTCCTCGAGTCTACCAAGAGGAAATTTATTGCTTGCTCCGTTGCGCTCTCGTTGCTACAATTGTTCTATTGTTATGCAATTTCCTTTTTAATGATTATCTATAATAACTATTTTCCATGTACGTTCGTAAATAGTTGCTTGTGTTTGTTTGTTTGTTTGTTTGTTTCTACGCATAAACATAATATGATTTCCATTATCTAGCAATTGTTATTGGGTTATGAGCACTTTATCTGCATTTGTATTGTTTTTCGATTTATAGATAGACCAATGCCAGTTACCAGTTACTCAACAGCTCGTTTTTCATTCTCTCTAAGCTTTCCACAAGAGAATGGAAAGCAATTTGGATTTTTATTATTTTGTATATAGAATAAATACATTTTTAAATATTTACATTATTTTCATTGTTTCATTATTCATTTATTTATTAACTTAGCTAAGCAGCATCATCTAAACAGCAATAATTTTTTATTTTTACTCACCGAATTCTTGGATGCTTTGCTTTTTTCAATTATATTATATATATCCGGTACATGCCATGAAAATATTCAGTTAATTAGTAATTTTCACAATTGTTTTCCCCTGTCACATACACACGCGAACACACATGCAAGTCTAAACGTATTCAAATATTACGTGCATTTCTAATTAGCAGATAGTTAGCACTTTATTCGCATTGTTGTCATTTTAGCCAAAGGAGAGATGGAAATTTTTGGTTAAACAAGCTTGGCACACCATGTTTCTCTGATTTTATACAACAGGGGGTAATGATCCTTACCATAACTGTATTTAACCAAACGTGCATACACAGATTTACACGCATATTATGTGCGGTATATCTATCTTTCCAGCGGCATCAGTAAATTTGCATACGCAATTACATTTGTATCTGTGCTTTGTACTTCCCCCGTCTTTTTGTTGTTACCATATAACAGTGAAATGATACTTTAGAGACCTTCACGTAAATTTTATATATGCAGGCATAATATTGTTGTAGGTGATTTTATGTTAATTCAAATGACATTTATGTGATTTTCTGCTTGAATATAATGGACTTGATTTCTTTGTTTCTCTCTCTCTCTCTCCCTCTATCTGTCTATTTCTTTTTCCCTACGCTTTTGGTCTATATTTGCTTGTGAACACATATTCAATTAATTAAATTATAAAATGATTGTTAACAAGAATGTTTTTTCCGTTGATAAACACAATGTTGCAATCACTTCGATTAATTAAATAATGTTGTTAATATTAAATTGAAATTTATATGTTATTTATGTTCATCACTGTACACTAGTTAGGTAATGAAACCAATTTTATCATTCCGTTTATAAAGAGTAGAATTAGTTTAAACCAATTACTCTCTGAATAGTCAATGCAATGAAAAGCCGCGCGCACTCATGTTACCATATTAGTTCATAAGACAAGATAAGAACACCTATGTTAAAGTAAGTAAGTATAATTTGTGAACTAAAAATTATGAAATAATCGAAGGTAGAGAAACCAATATATATATCTACATATAAACATATATATATGCACCTATATATATACATATGTAGATTCTGATATGACCAATCACTAAGGGAATGTCCTCTTTTCCCCATTCGCGTAACGCGGTGACGGTCAGAAAGAAGTGAGAAAGCAGGAGGAAAGAAAGAAATAGGGAGATGTTGGTCGCAGCCCAGTGGATCTGTGCCCATCGTTAAGTGTTATGTCTTTTTCGAGTGAGCACTCATTATAGCTGGGATCAAAGTAAACTGTACTTCATGTACGAATTGAAACATCGAATCCTTGCTTGGCTTTCGCGATTGTTACTCGATTACTCATATGAGTTATGAACGATAACAACAGCAAAATTAATGTAAAAACAAGTAAAAACACTAAAGTAGAGCCAAGTTCACCAATAAATACTCCACACAGTCCTATTACTATTCATATAACGATTATTTAAAATAAGATTTTATATGGAGAGCGGTCAAAAGAGGGGCCCAGTCCAAATCATTTTCAATAGCAGTCGTCTTTGGACCAAAACAAGCCCAAAATAAGTCAAAAATTGCGATCTGTAAGTTGAACACAACCAAACATTACGGACAGACAAACTTAAGCCGATCCAGAAGAGGGTTTGGTACATCTCAAGGCCTTTTATGTGTTCCGCACAAACTTAATATGTGAAAGTGGTGCAGATTATAATATTTTAACAAAAATAAATTGTGAACGATGAACGAAATAGAGATGTTACAGAAAGGCGTTTAAAAGAAAACGAATGGAGATGAACTTTATTAGATTACAAAGGGAAGATGTTGGATGCGAGCAGCTTTTCAAAACCTTGATATTAAAGAAGTTTTAGTGTCATCATATTTTCAGGACCACGAAAAATTTTAAAAAAGTTAAAGAATGGAACTTCAAAGTATTTTCTTTATATAACCAAAAATCACTTTCATAAATATTCAATCCGGTCGATAGTTTCATCGTAATGTAGACCTTTTCTCTCAGTAGTTTTTAAACCAATCGAAACACGATTTGTCTTCGAGTCACATTTGATTGTTGCACTTAAATTTTTTGCTAATTTCATAATGCATTTCCAATAAATGTTTTGGATCGACGTAACACTAAAAGATGGCGAATTGTTTTAATTAAGTTCGCTTGTGTGCAAGATCGGCCAGAGTTATTTGGCTAAATGACTATTCAAAATCACAACTAAGACGCAAGTTGTTCCTAAAAAATGTCGTTCACAACATGATGGCACAACACATACAACGCCGCAGCACACTTACTGCAAGCATAAATGAAGAAGAAGGGATCCATCAGTAAGAAAATCGAAGTCTAGCTAGATGTAACATTGACTAAGAGCTTTTATTACTTGATCAAGTTTCTTTGTGCAAATTTTCTAGGTTGTGTGCAGCAAGCAAATTGTTTTTTTCTTCCAAGCTTCGCCTTTCGTTGCCTAAAAGTGTTTACAATTATTTTAACTGACGATATTCTCCC